GCGCCTTTGCGGTTTTCACGAGAAATCAAAAATTTCCACAATTTTCCGACTTTTTATGCACCGCTCCCTCCCAAATTTGGACAAAATTTTTCATTTCTCTAGAAAACCTCAAAGGCGCATCATGTGATGCAGTTTTTGACGTTGATTCCAAATATCACCTTATTTTTGTTTTCAAGTGAATTTTTGATGACTAAAATCTCGAAAGACTGAAATCTCGCGGTTGGTCGGCCATCTTGTTTTCAACTTTTTCAACTTTTTCATCACTTTTAAAATAAAGTTTTTGCGCCCAGTTTGTGGAAAACTCAATTCTCTATCGCATGTGACCTTCGAATCGTTAGCAAAATTCTGTTTGGAGGGTCAAAAGTGGCATTTTCTCGAAAACTTTGATCGTTCAAAATCCCAATTCTCCAATTGATGTAGGTTTTGAACTACCACTTCCTACTAGTGTCCTGCGGAAACGACTTTTTCTGATTCCCATTCCCTAGAAAAAATTTTTTGTTTTCATTCCCACGTTCCTGTTCCCGCGTTCCCATTCCCGTAATTCCCATAAGGTTTTCGAAGGCGAAGGGAGGGAAACAGTTTGCCGTAAGAGGAATATTCTCGCTATATCATGAACACTATTTTGACTATAAATTTTCTTATTAGACGATGGAACACTTTTTTAATGAAAAGGAACACCAGCTTGAATGTATAGTGCATATACGAAGAAACACCTGCTTAACCAATGACTTCTTGTTCGTCTGACCTTATTTTCTTAACTGACGTGTTATTCATTTTCTAAACAGACGGAGACGCTCCTCGATTTCTCCTGTATATACTTCGTGTTTTTCTAATAAAGTCAGTCATATATTCATTCATCCACTGTGACATACATTTAACTGACGTGTTATTAAATAAATTAAAGGTACAGTTATGATTGGAGGAACATTCGGCTAAACATTATACAAGACTCATATACTATTCTGGGCTTAGTAACGTTTCCTAAACCCACTAGTAGACCCTCTGACTTTTGTACACGACGCTTTCTTCTAGAGTGTATCATTAAATACTTTGCTTGCGTAGTGCCGTAGGTCTAACGTTGAAACTCCTCTTATGACCGTTAAAAGTTAATTAAGATCTCGATATTATCATTCGTTTAATTAACACGCGTTAATTTAACACGCTCATTATTCCTAGTGAAAACACGAGAGGAGTTTTCGGAAAAAATTATTATACGTATACCTTCTAGATGACAAATTTCTTGGAGTAACTTGTGGAATCGTACCGCCTAATAGATTTGTTAGATGTAAATTATTTTCGACACTTTTCTGTTCAGGCCTTCAAAGCAAAAAGAAATTTTGTACGACAGACACACGTGGCCTTTCGTTCTGTTTATATATTTAGTTTATACCTTGTCGATTTGGATTTTTCAATAGTTGATAAAGAAAAATTGTCATAAGTTGAGTTTCTTCGCGTAATTTCATGAATTGTACATTCAACGTCAGCATCGTCATCGGACACTTTACAATCTGAATTATTTTCTTGATTTTCTAAAGGATCTGTTTTGTTCGATGTTATTTTCGACAAATCGATCATTGATTTTCTTATATCATCCTGGCCATTATTAGGTGGTAGTGAATTTAATTGAACATTTTCTACTTCTATGTCCCTTTCTTCGGCATGAGTTGACATATATCTTTTAGGTGTAAGTAATTGTGAGGATGGCTGAATCGAACCAGTACTTTTCATTGGCCCTTTGGATTTTAATGGTGACTGATGATCACTGTCACTTATATTAAACATCGAGTTGAATAAATCTGAAACGGTCGTCCTATGAAAAAACGAAAATTTTTTCCAATCACCACTTACAGAGTTGAGAGCCTAAAATTCGAAAAATCTGTCAGGTTTTTCAGGTAAACGCCCAAATTTTTTTAACTAAATTCAGAAGGCAAAAACAAGTTGTCTTCGACATAGTAAGCAATCTTTTTGTAAAAAAATATATCGAGACTACCCTTTCTTGTCCTTGCTGGATATTCTAATTCATCTATCAAGATAAAATATCTCTAGATGATATCTTACTACGTGGTTATAGGAAATAAAAGTATCAAGGTGGCCCGCCTCTGGAAAATTAATTTTCATCAAAAAGTTCGATTTTGAGACAAACATACGGTCAGGTCAGTTGTCGCGTCTACTATCAAAAGCCATAAACAAACAAGTCGATATCGACGGTTTTTAGCAGATTTTCCAGGATTTTTTTGAAGTCTAACGAGGTTCCAATTGTTTTTATTAACATGCTAATTTCTATATTGTTCTATCAATATTAATAGTATTTAAGGGCAACCATTTTTGAATCAATATAATAATTGATGCAGCTATATCAAATTTCATGGTTTACTTAAATAAGCAACGAACAACTTTATTTCTTTTTGTGATATTTCGCTCTATTTATACGAGCATTGTCAAACAATAACAAGAGACAAACTGTACAGTTGTTCTATATATAGTAATGTGAAAAGGAGTTGAGAAAATCTTAAGCTTTGAACTCATTGTACAATACTAGTTTCATTATTCATCAGTTCTTTCTTCATTTCTTCCTCAAAATTCAACCAAAGCACTTGAAACATGCAGAAAATATTCTGTTTTACTTGATTTGCATGCTGACACAGCTAGTAACTGAAAATCCTCGTTTTTGCACTTTTGAGATTGTCAGGTGTTTTTAAAAACCACTTGAGAAGAACAATGAGGGTACAGTTTTTCCGGTATTCTAAATATCCGGCATATTCTTCTGACTGAGTTCTGTTAGTTTCCACCGGTTTAGGTGAATTTCGAGAGAGATATGAAGTTTTTATTTTTGGACGCTCCTCACTAGCGAAAACCTCAGCCCTCCAGCTATCTTCTACGAAATAATATTAATAATATAGAATAATATATAATAATTGATGCAGCTATATCTAATTTTATGGTTTATTTAAATAAGCAATGAACAACTTTATTTCTTTTTGTGATATTTCGCTCTATTTATACGAGCATTATCAAACAATAACAAGAGACAAACTGTACAGTTGTTCTATATATAGTAAAAATCGCATAGAGTAGAAGAGGCGAGAAAAAGAAAAGAAAACACTTTTAATCGATGACATCATTTTAAATGT